AAAGATATGTATATAAATTCACTCTGAAATATTTGAGCATTAAAATCTGCTTTAACCAAAAATTAATTTATTTCTCTTATTGATTCTTAACTGATTTCTTTCTCATAGATCTTGTTAAAAAAAAAATGGTAATAGTCCTGTATCATTTTGCCATATTTTTATTTATTTTATTTTAAATAATAGTCTAGACTATTATTTAAAATACACCTATGCGCAACATTTTTTGTCGAAGAATATATTATAACGTCATATTGATATTATTCACGTTCTTACGCAGATTAATAAAACCGAAATTCCGTTATCGCGACGAATTTCGCGAAATATGCTTCATTGCTCGTGGAGGTTTTGGCGAAGTTTATAAAGCACAACATCGTCTCGACGGCATCGAATATGCGATTAAAAAAATAGTTATGCCCGGTGATTGTATAGAGACTATCCAGCAGCAACTAAATGAAGTATGGACATTAGCTAAATTAAAGCATACTAATATTGTTTCCTATAATGCGGCTTGGATGGAACCGTCATCGCCCAGTATTTCGTCATCTACAGATCGAGAATCATATAGGTCATCACACGAATCGAAATACTATCGAAAAGAAACCAAGTCAACATACAGTTCGCAGTCCATCGACGATTTATTCGATAACAATGGTGTGAATTTTAATAATAGTAAATTATGTCTCAATGAGCGAAATATACTACCTGATACTAAAGCATCTTCTACAATTGACATGTATACAGATAAAAAGAAAAAGCAAAATAAGGTATATGGGAATTCTAGTGATAGTATTTTTAATCGCAGCACTATTAGTAAAAGATTTGAGGAACTTAATTCGTCGGTTAATATCACAGGAGAGAAAATTGTTGAGAAAAGTGACACAGAAGAATGTACTAATGAATCTTGTACTAACGAATCTTCAGACGTAGTGTCTTTTCGAAATAGCAATAATAATGAAAATCTAGATCAAACAATTGCAGACATAGAATCTACTAGTCAAGAAGTATGTATGTACACTTCTAAAAAAGTAAGTATATAAATGTAATTAAGAAATATGTATCTGCTCTTTTTTTGCAAAGCAAATTTAAAAAAGCAGCCAGAAAAGAATAATAACTTAATAACTTTTTTATTACTTCACTAACATAAAGAATAACATTTTTTATCTTTACTTGATCTTCATCAGTTCTTATACGTAACAAATTGAAATCAAAATTATTTTGAATAACTAACGAGAGTAAAATAGCAATAAATTAATAATTATAATAAGAGACTGTGTAAAATTTTAACAACTTATAATATACATCAATAAATAAAAATTGAACAATATAAGTCAATTATTAAAACGAAGATAACTAATTCATCGGTCAGAAGCGAGAATCTTGTTAAGTATTATACATAGTAAAACAACGTAGAAGTCCGTTTCAATATTCGAAACAATTATTTTCCAAAAATTAGTTTTAACTCTTATTGTCAGCGCTGCTTATTAAGTATATAAATATTTTGTTTTGAGACAAAAGTGGATATTGAAAGTATATTAGTAAATATAATAAATTTTAATATTTGTCATGTGTTTTGGGTCAACAGAATCGACCGTATGTAATTTTATACATTCAAATGGCTTTGTGTGAACAAACACTCGAACATTGGCTGCACGGTAAAATAAGTGTATCACCTGAACCGATAGTTAAAGCGATATTTCAACAGATACTTTGTGGAGTCAATTATATGCATTCCCAAAAAGTAGTACATCACGATATAAAGGTAAAAATGTGCATATCTTCATCAACATAACATAAACCTCTTTCGAAATATGATTATATTTTACAGCCAAGAATATATTTATATTTTATAGCCAAGTAATATATTTATTTCGACAACCGGACAGCTTCAGATTCAATTAGGTGATTTCGGTTTAGCTTGTCCATTACAAAAAGAAAACCATCATTCTGTAATTGGTACTCATTTGTACGCAGCACCAGAACAACTGGAAGGAAAGTGTGATCGACAGGTAATTAAGAGAAGAAAAAATACTGATGAATATAAAGTATTATATATTTGAATATATCTTGCATTATATATATGTTCTTTTTTTTTGCAGAGTGATATCTATAGTTTAGGAATCGTTCTCATCGAGCTATTAAAACCAATAAAAACTCAAATGGAGTTAAGTTCTATAATCAGTTCTTTAAAGAATGATACAGTACCAGAAGCTTTTAAACGACACAAATGGGTGAGTTTTAAATACATTAAATTATTTATTATATTTTATATTATATATAATTATATTGATCTTTATTTAGGCTCCTATTCTGTAATTCTTAACAACAGCAATGATATCATTATATTGTCATTGCGCAACTTTCTTGTATAAAACCTGTGCAACGACAATGTAACAATATCATTATTGTCATTAAGAGTTATAGGAATGAGGGCTTAAATCTAAATTGTGTATGTACTTTTATTTAGACACAACTGGTCAAACAAATGGTGCGAAAGGATCCTTCCGAACGACCATCAACAAATCAGCTTCTGAAGGAATTTGATGACGACAAGGATGTAATAATAAATGGATTAAAAGATACTATTGTGGATTTAAAAAATGATAATCGTATTAAAGATAACACAATTCAGGAATTACAAGAAGAGATTGTGTTATTAAAGGAAAAAGTTCAGAAACTGTCACCTGACAATACAACAAAGAAAGCTATTATATGAGGTCTAAACTAACATAAAAAGACATGACATTAATAAGACTGATAAATATACAATTTTTTTTGAGTCCCTAGGAAAATAATAATTTACGCACATAGCAAAATAAGATTTTCAAATGTTTAGGCACTCTTATTTTAATCCACACACAACTTTTTTAATACACATAACAAATAACTAATTAAAAATTATATAAACTTTTAATTATATATTTTAGTTATATATTTATTTTTAATCAGATATCAGAATATAAACTAATTTTTTTAGTTACAGTACAGTGGTATTTTACATACTATTTTTAGACTTTTGATCTTTTCCTTTTTCAAGACACTCTAAACTTGTCCCAATGTATATATAAATTATACCTGCAAAATTTTAGAAATGAACAAAGATAAACAATGTCTAATAAGTGAAAATCTCTATCAGGAAAAAATATATTGTTTAAATTTCTTTATTAATCAATATTATTATATCAATCAATATTTATATAATATTTATTAATTTTCAAAAGATTTATATATCGTTATAAATCTATATTATAAATTACAGCAATATAACTAGTATAAAAATGTGCTACTTTAGCTATAAAATTTTATAATTATTGTAATGGTTTCAAAAGAGCTTCTTTAAAATCTGAAAATCCTTATTTGACGGTAATCTTTTTTTAAACAGAGTTTAGTAAAAACTGTTTTACTAAAATTTGATATAATTAAAAAGATATTTCTAACACAAATTGGATAAAAGACGAATGATATTTATTTCATGAAATAGCTTTCTCAAAATTAAGTGAAAGTCAGTATGTTTTCCTGTTGTCCCAGAACGAAATTTTAGGAGAATAGGAAAGAGAACAGAAAATTTTCTTTCATAATACAGTACTATTTAGGACACATTCAAGTTCCTATTTGAATGCTCCCCAGGATCATATCAACATTCTTTAACCTTGTTTAATATTTGATGAGGAACAAGAATAAAATGACATCTGGATGGCATTTGAATAATCTGAACAGCCTTAAAGATAAATCTCGAAAAAAAAAAAACAAATTTTGTTTTACCTACAAAGATAGACCATCCTGATTCGTTACTTAAACGTATCAGTAACCTTAGGCAATTGTGTTATAATTGACTATTCAATGTACATTAAAATAAGGCTGTAAGATATAATTAAATAGTGCCATTAAATGTCTTAATCGAATATGACGCATGTAAAACTATCTTAATAATTTTAAATTAAGAAGCGCCATAACGGTCAGAACGTTAAGATGTTGAACTATTGTAAATTCATTTAAATGAATTAATTTCAGAAATGATAATTACGTGCCGATATGGTCTCGGTAATCTAAAGGCTTAGGACACTCGCACGGAATGCAAGAGATCCGGGTTCGACTCCCGGCCGAGGCATTATTTTTCGCAATAAGTTTTATTACAGTTTTTAAGTTGGGGAATTTGGGGGGATTATTAATATTTTCAGATTTGATTGCGTTGAAAGTCCGACAACCATATCGGCACGTAATTATCATTTCTGAAATTAATTCATTTAAATGAATTTACAATAGTTCAACATCTTAACGTTCTGACCGTTATGGCGCTTCTTAATTTAAAATTATTATGTTTAACATTAGCGGTCTTTCAATCTTATTATTGTTTAAAACTATCTTGTAATATAAAGTATTTCTTATTATTACTATTTAGATAATACATAATTGTATATGGCATTTTTTCTGTATAAATTAAAATATATAAAATATTCGTCTTTCATTTATTAATATTACTTTGTACTGTCTCTGCAAACACAGATAGAATAAGATGGTACAATTTCGAAAATGATACATTTCTAAACGAAATAAGTAAAATTTTAATCCAATTTTCAAGGTTTAAGTTTAAATCCTCTCATTATATAAAGGATGCTAAAGGATAAATAGGAAAAAATTAAACTTGAACTTCGAAAATTGGATTCAAATCTTATTTCATTCAGAATTGTACTATGTTCAAAATTAAACATTACACATTATCTTTTATTATTATTACAAATATTAATAGTAATCAAAATAACAAATCAAGCGATGTACAAATGTAGTTTTATTCATTTTCAATTTAATTAAAATTATATACCATTTTTATATACAATTTCATTAACATTATTGAAGTAGTTTGTAATGTAACATTAAATTATAAATTAATATTAAAAATATACATACAATATTCTTTGGAAAAGATTTAAAAAAGAGTAAGATACAGTTGAAATATTCAACACAATAACATAATATTAAAAAATTTCTTAAGCTATAGTAACAAGCTACTTTATGGTATATTCATATTGAGGTATTTCGTCTAAAATTGCATCCAATAATACCTTTAGTCGCTGACCAAAAAATATTCTGGAATTAGTAGAATGAGGAACGGCACATTGTTGCAATAAATCCTTAATGTCCGGATATTGCTGCTCAATATTAGTAGGTACATCGTGAAGAAATCCACCAGGAAATGGATTTTCATTTCCTGAATTTAATAGAAGCTGCAATCACATACACTTTTATAAATATATTTAATGTTAATATAGTGTATATATAAAACTACCTGATATATCTGACTATAATATCTGTGTATAAATAAAATAGCAACTACCTGGCAAATTGCATAATAATTGTGGTCGCTTAAATAATGAATACAAATATCCTTGGAAGAAAATGCAAAACAATTAGGACAATCAAAGTGTATCGTGTTATGTATTTTCTGCCATTCCTTTGGATCATCTACGAATTAATATCATACAAATAATATTTCTTTGCTTATTTCATAAATGTCATTATAACAAGAAAATTTTTACTACCTTCTTGAGAAATATTTTTGTCAACAATTATAATATTCTCCAAATCGATAAATTTCGCTACATTTTCATGATCAACGGCAATATTATCAGCCGATATATCCGTTAAATAAAAACCAAACATTTCGTTCTTGAAGGTAAACAAATAAGCAGCATTTAAAAGACTTGAAGCTATTTTTACTCTTTGAATCCAAGATTTGTCATAATAATCAGACAGTGGTAACCCAACGTATTCTTCAATAATAATCCGACCGCAAGCTCCGAAATATCTTGGTACAGGCCATCCATTTTCAGCAGATAATATCTGTGTTTAGAGAGAGATATATAAAATATATAATTGTATTCAATCTTTCTATCAAAAAATAGTCTAACATTACCTAACAAATCCTATAATTAAAATGAACTATATAGTTTTCATATACTTTTATTATAATTTACCTGAAGTATTAAAGGCTCTGGATTTATGGAAACCAATGTCCAGAGATTAATTAGATATTGTGTGGGATCAATATGTTTATTGTTAAGATGAACATTATAAAATAGGTCATCTAAATGTCTGATTGTTGGACAAAGTCTTAATCGACTTGTATCATCCTTGGAAAAATCAGAAGTAATTATTTTTCTAATGAGATTATAAAAATCTGCTTTATATCTGTCTAATGGAACATTGGAGCAGGGATATTCCAAATGGAGTTCATTACATAATGTAATGTCAAGCGCTTTTAATTCAGAAGAGTGTGCCAATTTTTTTAGGACCACTTTACTTTGATTATATGTTCCAAAGAATACATTTTTAACGCCAAACAAATGAGAAATTATCGCATTAACATCATTCCACAGGAGATCTACTTTGTTAATGTTATGACATGCAGAAATGCCATAACACGCTGGACATTTATGCAGCTCTGTCAGTTGTGTTATAGAAGGATATAAACTTTGTAAAATAACATTGATTCTTAAAGCAAGAATGCAGATACCAATTAACAGTAATATTTTCCATTTTTTAAATCTAAAGATGTTATATATATAATACAGAATCATAAATCAATAATCAGATCCTCCTTTTATCTTTTTAATAGAAGCATCATATTTTGCAGATCTTTTTTGTTATATTATTTCCAGATGACTGTATAGGGGCCTCTAATTCTGCCCAAAAATTGTATAGCACAGAATGATTCAAACTTGTAACTATTTACTGCTTTTATATTCTTAACGAATCTGTATAATATTCGTAAAGCTTTTCAAAATATACGTTTTATAGGTTATGTTGTTTACCGGCTCTTTAAATGCGTAGCTTTGTTCTCATTGGTCAAATTTCAATTTTCACTCTTCAATGCGTAGCAATGCATAGTCTGATTCCGGCCTAAGAACACCTGATCAAATACCGGTCTTTTTTCTATTCCTAAAAAAAAGTTTGGCATCTAGAGACCAAGTTTTGTGCGTTACCGGCCTCAATTCGTGCGTATCCTTTAACTGGAATAACTCCGAAATTCACCGCCTCTGGGCCACAAATAACCCAGCAATGCGTGTGTACAGAGTGTACATTTTTTGTAACTAAAATATTTTTTTTTGTAATTTGGAATGTGAATTTTAAGATAGTGAACCATATTTATCCTTTGAACATTTTTGTTTCAGAGTTTTATATTTTTATATGAAACAGTGTATTTTTCTAATTTTGTTAACTATATTTATTTATAACAATTTATCTACAATTTGTTATGAATATATAACTGCACAAATACTTTCTAAAGATGTCAAAATATATGTAAAAATCATTTAATAATTTATATGTACTTGTCAAAGTGATGAAAATTAATCCAGGACACAATAAATCACCGAACGTGTATATTAAGGGTGCCAAAAACTAAGGTGTGTGTTAATTACTTTAATCACACTTTAATTTACTTTATCTTTTTTCTAATTCTTAGAAAAACTGGAAAAGGATAAAAAGTGAATTAAACCAAGATTAAAGTTGATTAAAGTTAATCTATTGGCAGAAATGGACATAAATTATAAATCAGAATTTGATCAATTCTCAGATTTTCTTATTCTTTCCCTTTTCACCGCTCCATGACCTCAGTATTGATTCATTTCGTTTCAAATACAGAAAATACATATAAAGAACATATTAAGAACGTGCATCTAAAAGCAGACATAGAATTTTGATTAAATTCCGCGGTAATTAATTCAACCGGCAGAACCGCTTAAGAAAAATTTAATTCGTTGTCCTGATTTTTTTTTACGTTAAACAGCCCAAAACCAAAAATTTTATTCATGTTAACAAAATAGTACGGATTATTTGATTCTGCCAGCATCTGTGACCTACAAACTACACTGTCGGTGCCGCCACCTAAAATCGTTGCTCCGCAGTTGTTCATTCAATGGGAATCGCGAATCACGACAATGACATCGCCACCTTTGTCCTTCGTCTGGGATGTCTGCCGTCTGGCAATCTAGGATCCAAATCGGGTGATCGGACGATCATAATGCTTCGATGTATGTTCCGTCCACATAGGTTCATGAATTGTGCTTTGTTGTGCGACAAATCGTTCCATCTTGTCGTCAAGTTCGGCCAGTCTAAGGTGATAATGCGAAATTAATAAGATCATCCTATTTATGGACGAATGCTGAATGAGCACGAAATTTGACATCGTACTTGGATACGATGCATATGATATGACGATATCACACTGACTATTTTGTAACTGTCCGTGTAAAGAATTTGCGGAAAATTGTAGTATTCCGTTTTTTCGCGAGCTGTTGTATTTTCGTTGCAATCTAAAAGCATTGTTGCAAGCTGCAACTCTAATGCGTTTAATCCATATGGGTCTCAACGAATTGGTGCATTGGTAAGAAACTTTGATCATATCAAATTTCTTTTATATTATGTTAAAATTTGATATTTGTCTCAACGATACGACTTCCTGAACTGAGACGTTTAATTTGGATGTTAATATTGATTGGAAAGTAACAACGATAAGGAAATGCAGGCATGAATGATAACTAGAATAATAAGAAGCAAATTTTTTCAGGTATCAAAAAAAGATTGGAACATATGATAAGCAACAATGGGAGAGAACCATAGAGCAACATATTCTTGATGGACTTACACATGTTCCAATGAGGACAACAAAACTTAAGACAGAACTGATTGATGTGGATCTCGTTCGTGGTATGCAACAGAGATATTAACTTACAGCTATATATATATATACGTATATATAAAATATTCATATATATAAACATATGTGTACACACAAGATGAATATGGTCATTTGTACTATATTGGATCAGTTTAAAGGCACGCATTAAAGGTTGTTTCATATAAAGTATCTAAATGCAATGGCATAATATGATCAACTTTGACAACAAAATAATACATATATATTCTATTAAATAATGTGACAAGGTAATTTTTTAAACATATTGTTTAAAATATTTGTTTTTACATGTAACTTTACCAATTTCATGTATAGCAGCTTGTGGTATGCACTAATCTAAATGTAATACAAGTGACCAAATTCATTATTGGGTGCTTTTCATTTGATGACACAAGCGTCGTTCCATCCTTCTTGACATTCAGAAAGTGACAAAGATAGAATAACACTTCTGTCAACTTGTGTTAACTTATGTCATTAAATGGAAAGCATCCAATAATGGTTGAAACAGCTTTTTACCATAGGAGATGAATACAGACTGTAACTGAATATAAAAAACCATACAAGAGAAAGTAAAATATTTACCTTTGGCTGCAAAAAGCTGATTTAACTATTAATCTTAACTTTACATATATATATATATATATATATTTAAATATATTACAGTATTTTTCTTGATAGACATGTATGTTCATTCATGATTTAATAATGTATATAGGATCTTCATTTCCGAAAGCCAAGCCAAAGCATGGTTTGTTGACAGTAGCTTGCCTAGCGTTTCAGCGACTCTTGTTCCTTCCATTGTACAAAAAGTGGTGGATACAGCAAACGAGTTATCGCATCTTTGTGTTTTTCTTGTTACTGTATAGCTTGCAAATGATCAACATATGCCTGTATTACGTTTATGCAAACAGGGAAAATGAGGCAGAAGTATGATGAGTTTTTTGATTTTCTAAACTGTGTGTTGCATTGCTATCCATCTTGATTGTCACATCTGTTTACAGATTATATCAATGTCCGAAGTATTAGTACCTGTTGTTATGATGTTTGTCTTGTGCACTGTTCATTCCCACATTGTATCGACACATTCAGGTCCTACTATGACGTATAATCAATCCAGACAACGAATAACAAGACGCTCTCGACACGTTAGGTGCAGGAACGGAAAATCGAGGCCTAGACAGAATTTACGTAAGTGTGCAAAAAAAAAACGGAATATTTATCTTTATAGTATTTTAATTTTTGCTAAAGGTATACATAAGGATTCAAAATCCTCTCAAGATATGGCTTCTGAGAAAGTGAGTACAGGAAATGAAGAAGTATTCACTGCAGTAAGATTTGCTAAAAAAGTGATAATCCAAAATTCCTCAACTGTTAGCCAATCTCAGGTAAATATCCAGATTTCAAGTTTATACTCGAATATACTAAATTATCGTATTTAGTATTTAAAACGTATTTAAAAATTTCTGATATAATAGGAACTTCCAAATGCTCAAGTAGTATATGACAAAGAATCATTAAGTACAACCGGAGAAAATTCTGACCCTGCAAACGAAAGTTCAACTAATCATGAACAGCAAGGTAAAAAAAATATTATTTGTTGCAAGTTTGTATATTTCATATGTTTTTAACACATACATATTTCTCTCTATAACAGATAATGTACCAGAAGAACATGTAGCAAATATACATCAGGACGATGATGGCTTTGAGAGTTTAAATGGGAATGTTTCCAGTGATAATGACAAAGGGATAGGCCGTGCACAGGTGCAAGAAAATAAATCACGATTGAGTTTGATACAGAGTAAAGATCATATGTCATGGTCAGAAGACAGCACTAGCCAACAAGTTTCATCAAAAAACTCAGGTTTGAGTTACAAGTATACGCTTGTAAAATAATTTGCAGATAGTTAACAATTTTGCAAAGATAATTATAAATCTTCATTCATTATTAAACATGCTATAGACATGCACTTTATAAACACATAAATTTTTTAAAATAATTTTTCAAATGTATATTTAATAATTCATCTAATTTTACGATTTATAACACTAAATGAAAGTAATCTTTTTTTCAAATTTGTTTTTGTTTGTGGTTGCTTTCCGAACCGCTAACACGCTTTAATCTTTGTTGGAAAGGTATAAAATGGAGTAATAGCTAAATCATCGTTTTCCACTTTCCACGCAGCACCTGACCCATTAAAAAATGATGACAATTTTATGGATAGCAAAAGCAATAATCATGGCAATATTAAGGTATTATCACTTATAAGTTTCATTTTTTTCTTGACTAAATCTATAGTTTAACAAAATTTCTATCTATTTATATTTTTTTTATTGTGCTTGTCTCCTTTGTAGGCCAATTCTTTTTAGATATTCTTTTTAAATATTCTTAAATATCCTTCATCAAGAACAAAAGATATTAAAAAGATTCATATCTAATACATCTTATATTAATCTATCGACTTTTGTATTCTTGTTAATTTAAGGCTAAAGATATTTCATCGAAAATATTGGGATCAAGAGAAGCACGACAACAATGCGAGAGCGAAGAAGAAGGCGAATGTGAGGAAGCTACAACGCATCATCTCACAGAGGCAACAACTTCTGCCACGGAATGGATGGGAGTAACAACTAACAGTGACGAGTGCAGTTACAGGTGAAATATTTATATTATGAGATATAATATTATTTTAATAAAGCATAATTTTTCATAAATTTCGAAATTATTACAGTTCAGAACTCGGGGAATCTGACATAGCCAGCGAGACTAATCTTAATTATGGAGAATTTGTGGAGCATCCTTTCTCATGGGAATTTGAATTACCACCTTCGATATTATTTAATTCTACTTGCACATCGTCTGATCGTGGTTAGTATAGC